ACACACACACACACACACACACACACACACACACACACACACACACATGCATGCACATGCTTTGGTGGCACATTATTTGCCTTTTATTGGCTCCTGGAGTTTGAGCAGCTTTAACTCTGTGGCATTTCAGTGGATTCACACTTTTGTACCTAAGCACTGCTTATTTCTGTGCCATGGTTAGGGAGCCTCCTTTCTTCGTTTTGAGTGACAGAATGATCTTTCAAACACAAAAATGTTCTTTCTGTGCAGTCCAAGAATTTTGGGCGCAGTAGGGATGCTGAAGAGTCATGTAGAAGAAGAGTGCGTAGCCTAGTGGGTAAAGCACTTGCCATGCAAGTGTAAAGGCTGGGGTTGAGATATCTAAAGTCCATATAGAAGCCTATGGGTATGGTGGTCTGCTTGTACCATCAGCATTCAGGAAGCAGAGACAGTGGAGCCCCAGAGCAACCTGGCTAGCCAGATTAGCTTGAACGATAAGCTCTGAGTTCTGAAAGAGACCTGGCTTCACTTTGTGAGGTAAAGAGCAATTGAGAAAAACATCTGGCATCTACCTTTGACTTGCATGTACAAACTACACACATACAAATACCATAGAAGAAATGTGTAGATTGTCTATCTGATATAAGTTCATTTACAACTAAATGATAGTTGCCACTGTGAGGATTAGATTTGGCAGATTCAAGAAGTCAAAGAGAACATCCAAGATGTTTTAAAACATTTAAGAATGGTTGGGGAAACTTTTGGGGACCTAAATTCCTTTGGCAACTATGAGATAGACAACAGAAATACTTACCTGGAAAGCAGGACCAATCTTTTTGCAGGGGCCACACCACTTTGCTGAAAACTCTATTACCACGAGCTTGCGTCCAGCAACTCTCAACAATTCTTTGAATTCCTTCTGAAACCAGAACACATGGGGAAGTGTGCATGGTCATGGAACCTCACAAAGTCTTACAAGAAATAAAATGAAAACCTTACAAAGGGTACAAGAACATAGGAAGCCCTCAAATCCAGGAACCTTACCTTACTGTCTTACAGGTGGTCCAACATTTGCTAAGTGAGTCTGACGCTAGACATAGTTGTCTTTGCGAGTACCATAAGTGGTGATACATTCATCAACAAGTTAGAAGTCTGCTTATTACATGGGGTGGTAGTAGTGGCTACCTTTGGGTAGAAGCAGGTCAGCCAGGGAGAAATGAAAGGATGAAGGTGAAAGCAAAAACACTGTTCAAGCTCAATCTCTGTATTTAATAATTTTAAAGTCAGATGAAAATGCATTAATGATGACATTTCTTATTTCATGGGAGTGATCACTCTTGAAATATTAATCAGTATCAATTTAATGATTTAACTTTTTTCCTAAACATTCTAAGTAAACATTTCAATAATTGTTGATATCACCTAATTAAAATATTCCATCCTGAGACAGATCACTCTATTTATATTTTTGCTCATGACTGTCCTACATTAGCTATTTGGAGCCCAGTTTTCCCCATTGGAGTCAGGTCTAGCTTGACACTATTTCTCCTCTGGTCCCTAACTTGCAGATGGTAAGCCCTTATGGAATGCTTAGTGGGCGAGAAGGTGACAGTTATAGAGAGAACTCTTTACATGTATTTTCTCACTATCTACTCTGATGTTCTGAACTGTAATCTTTATGCTCTCCCTCTTCATTATATATCTTCATCCTCTCAATTTCATAGCTAAGGGCACAAATGCTCATCAGCCTTCCCATGGCCAGCCAGCGGGTAATGGTGTAGATTGTTCACTTAGGCAGCTTGACTCCAAAGCATATTTCTTCAACCATTACTCTTTTCTCCCAGTGATGAGCTCCACTCTTTTCACTGTGGTTAACAGAATCACCTTACACATCCCAGGAGTAAACACTGATCATGTTAGTTCAGAATTGGATTAGGTTCAGCAGGGCCTATCCCCATTAAAGGTGGGATTAATGCCATAGAGCTGGCATGCTTGCCCTTCAACAAGGGAACTTGATAATTAAGTTCCCATTTGATTTAGTTTCTGGAAGGTGAGACTGCTGATGCAAGGAAGATGCATTCACTCCCAGGGCCTGTATTTCTGCAGCAATGGGTAACTGAGTTTTCACACAGCCAAAGCAGGCCTCTGCGTCTCAGTTTTATCTATATTTCCTGTGATAATAGAACTTATGCCCAGGGCATAGCACAAAATAGATAAGATCTATCTGTAGCCCTCTTTCTACTTGTTATTTTGAGATAGAGTTTCACTACTTGCCTTATCTGGACCTTGCATTCACTCTATAGCCTAGACTAGTCTTTAACTTGTCACAGTCTCCTGAGTAGCTGGAAGTACCAGCCTGCAGCACCAAGCCTGGCCTCTCTTGAGGTTACATAGTGACTTTCAAGTCAGCCAGACTTACACCGTCTCTTTTAGTAAGACCCTATAGCAAAAGACATAAAACAAACAAAAGAATTGAAAAGGCTCCCTTGATGTAGAGCAACGAAAGGATACTGGGTAGAGGGAATAATGACTGTTCATCAAGTCTCATTAAATATTGCTTTTGAAGCATCTTTCAAAATATTTTATGAAGCCAACAAATACTTGCCATGTCATTAATCACCTGCACCATGATTAGCATATGGGACTTGCTTGATGACCCCCTTCTGTCTGTTCAGGTGGATCACCCTAGCTGTCCTAATTATGGCATTCTGAGTGGAATATAAAGGTAACTTTTCTGTGACATCACTGAATGGGTCATCTCAGAATCTAGAACTTTGGCAGACTTTGAACCTAATTTCACCTTTTAGGCTGTGACTAGGCAACTAGTTGGCTTAGTTGAAAACCAAGGTCTTTGGATGCAGAAGCCAACTGTTGGGCTCTCTCATCTTAAGCTTTTTCTTTTTTTTTTTGGTCATTAACTTTTACACATTTATTTAGTCTCTGACCTCCCCCACCTCAGCAGAAACCATGCATACTAAATGGCTCAAAGCTCATTTCATTTAAGATTTTAAAGAAATTGTGCTGTGTAAAAAAAGAGTGCTAACACCTTAATCTTATAAAGGGCTTCCTGGAAACTCATTTATGACTCACACATTCCATAAACTTTGCTGTTTTGTTCTGACGATTTAGAATATAATGAAACTTCACTTTCACACAGACAGAGTTTGGGAAACTTTCCAGTAAGGGATAGATAATAGTTTAGGTGCTACAGGTCACATACGGTTTTTAGAGCATAACTTTTGTGTTTATAACTTTTAAAAACGGTAAAATAACAATTCTTTGCTGGCAAGCTGCATGTGTACACACACAAACAGAGGCAATCAATAATTTAAGAGTTTTCAGAATCGGAACAGAACAAATAATCTGGCCATATCTTCTGTTCCTCGATCCCTCAGAGCAACACTGACAACAAAAATGGGAGAAATAGCTGGTTCTACGATAAGATAAAACTGAGGAAAATCCTCTGTTTGGGGTTTCCATGCCCCCAGTCTTGTGTTCATGGAGAGAAAAGTGGCTTAGCCTGGTGGGGACGCATGTGCATGCGCTAACTTGACCTTGGCTTTTCTTTGCTGGCAGGATGCTTTTTTTCCTAGCTAAAGGAGATAGTTCGGAATTAACTTTCAGACACAGTCTGAAAAGTCTGCCTTGTCCTCTGGTTTCTAGACGGTCATGAGGCTGGGCCATACTTCTGTCCTCCAGTGCTAAGACTACCCACAGTGTTTGCTGCCAAGTGGCTTGCCCAGCCCTGGGGCAGAGAGAGAACAAAGGAGGGCATACAGAAGCCTGTTTATTCTCAATTAGGATTTAAGCAGCATTAAAAGCCAGAAAACAGTCAGGTTTTACAAAAACTAGTATTTTTTTGAAAACATGTTTGCCTCATTAGTTCATAAATAGGGAAAATTTCTATTCTCAGAGAAATGGTGTCAGTTAGGAACTTTCTAGAATAAAAGAAGTCTGGGCTTTTCCTTTGGACCCAACTGACTGCATTGTTTTCCTAACGTGTACTTGCATGTACTTTCCTAGACTCTTTCCTGACATCATCATTGGACTCATGAAAGTCTGAGCCAGTCTGGAGAGAGTTTCCTTACGAGACACTAGAGCTGTATTTCTTCTTCTTCTTCTTCTTCTTCTTCTTCTTCTTCTTCTTCTTCTTCTTCTTCTTCTTCTTCTTCTTCTTCTTCTTCTTCTTCCTCCTCCTCCTCCTCCTCCTCCTCCTCCTCCTCCTCTTCTTCTTCTTCTTCTTCTTCTTCCTCTTCTTCTTCTTCTTCTTCTTCTTCTTCTTCTTCTTCTTCTTCTTC